CCCCCCGACGAAGCGCCGCGCGCCTAAGAACCCCTCTAGACCCTGCCGCCTCGCCCCTTACGCCTAGTACGCCACCCGGTAGTGTAAATAAGAGTATACCATTAAGTGTTATTACTAGTCGGGCCCCGGCGCTACTCGCGCGGATACTAAATATTACGGGTGCTCGTGCCGCACTTATAAATATTCTAAGGTAAGTATACCGGTTCTATATAGGGTAACCGTGACTAATAAGCGATATAGCTCCCGTCCGCCGCCTACGACGCCGCTAATACCCTATAGAATACCGCTCGTGCTATAAACGAGGATACTAATAATAAGGATATAAGTTTATACCTGCTCTTCGCTTAGGGGCCTTATACTAACTCTTCTATATAGAATCGCCGCTAGTTCTAAGATACCTACAGTAGTATTTAGGTCGCCCTTAGCCTAGCTAAGTCGGGTAAGAATATCGCTAGTCCGTCGTAATCCCCTACTCCTGCCGTCGCCGCCCCCCCCGTCGCCGCTCCCGCTCCCACCACCACGCCGCCTACCGCTATCGCCCCGCCGCCTATTACCCCGTCCGCCACTACTAAGTTCTAGGTAAGTATAGTGCGAGCCCTTAACGATATCGCTACTTCTATACGTAGTATAGATAAGACGCTTAAGGATATATCGTAAAAACTAAAGGATAAGAATAACGATATCACTATAATATTGTAAGAGGTTTATAACCTTTTTTACTCCGTCCGCCGAGCATATAAGCATTACGTGGCCGTGACTCCCTTCGCCGCTAATAATAATCCGGGGGCTACTCCCGAGGTTACGCTCGCCTCGGCTCCTCCCTAAAAGGAGTCGTAGGTAGGTGCCGCCGAGGATAGCGTGGCCTTATAAGAGGAGGAGTTAAAGGAGGGTAAGATTGTGGAGGAGTAGGCCGTTTATATCGTTTAGGTTATTTCGGTAGTTTTTAGGATTTTACTTAGTTCTTTACTTATAAGTTAAGTAGTACGGGGGTATACCCCTAATACGACTTTGCTCTCGGTTCTTATCCTCCTCGCCGCCGTATCGGCCTTCTTTCGCGCCTATATCTCCTTCGTGTACTATTATAAGGGCCTATTATTTAACTATACTAGGCCGTGCTTTTTCTCGAATTCGTTAAGCGCTTATATCTCA